TATATGGCATTTATAGACCTACCTAAGGCCTTCAACACTGTAAATCATAATGCCCTGCGGACTGTCCTTCTTAAAATCGGCTGCCCAGATAAATTTGTGAACATCCTTCGGCTCCTTCATATGGCAGCAACAATTGTGGATAACAATGGCTCTCAAAGTGAGCCGTTCACAGTGGAATCAGGTGTTAAACAGGGTTGTGTTATCACCCCAACTCCATTTATTATTTTCATTGCCATAATCCTACACTTTGTCGAAGGGAAATTCCCCACCCGGGTAGAAATCATATATCGAACAGATGGAAAGCTCTTTAACCTGAGTAGGCTGAAAGCAAAGAGTCTTCTTTGGCGATCAGTCGTAGCCGAGTAAGATTGTCTTCCATAATTCTGGACCCACACGTCCTTCCACAGTGGGGACATTGGTTCCCGGGCGGGAGTTGATCACAGTGTGGATTTGATGGCGTGCCTTCCTCTTAGCACGCTGCTCCCTTGCATCCTGAGTTTGAGTTTCTTCAGCCTTTGGTAAAGGCTGTTCTCCAACTGGAGCACTTGCAGGCCAGTGTTTCCATGTGCTGGTTCATGACTAGGGGCTTCCAGATTTCATGATCCTGCCCCGTTACCATTTACCGATTGCCATGGGACTTTGGGGGCTTGGGTTGGGTTTTTGGAAGACGCCTCTGCGTGAATTTGTTTTATGTGTGTAGATCAGTGCATAACTTGTATCATAGAGCTTCAATATTCTGATGACAACATAGTGCGTGCACACTCAGTGGATGACCTCCAAACCATCTTAAATATCTTCGCAGAATCTTATGAAAAGCTTGGCCTATCACTCAACATCCAAAAAACTAAAATGCTGCACCAATAAGCACAAAGCAACCCCTCTGCAGCACCACAAATCCAACATAACGGTGTAACGTTGGAAAATATTGATGTCTTTTGTAACCTGGGCAGTTATATTCCCACAAGGGCCGACAATGATGCTGAAATCCAGAATCATCTGAGCTCTGCGAGTGCAGCTTTCTTCCAATTGAAGTGCAGAGTGAGGACCAGGACATTCGCAGGGAAACCAAAACGCTTGTTTACAAAGCTATTGTACTACCAACCTTATTGTACACTTGTGAAACATGGACCACTTATAAACACCATCTTCAACTCCTTGAAAGATTCTGGCAATGGTGTCTCCGAAAAAAATCACATATCACTTGGGGAGACAGGTGAACTAATGCTAGTTTACTGGAAGAAGCAAAGATCACCAGTGTCAAAGCAATGATACTTTAACATCAAATTTGTTGGACTGGTCATGCTGTTCGGATGCCTGGTTAAAGTCAGTGAGATGGAAATTGGGAACACTTTTGTTCATACATGCTTCCTTTCATACATGCAGCGTCAGTTTCAGAATGTAGTATTGGGAGGCTGCCCCCCAGCAGCTATGGGGTCCCGCAGGGTACCAACTTGTCTCCCATGCTGTTTAACATCTATATGAAGCCACTGGGTGTGGTCATTAAGATATTTGGAACAAAGTGCCATCAGTATGCTTGTGACATCCAACTCTGATTCTTTTAAACATCTGAATCAGGTGTTTCTGTGCAAGTCCAGAATCAGTGTCTAGGAGCTGGTGGGTTAGATGTGGGCCAATAAATTGAGGTTGAATCTTAGGAAGACAGACGTCCTGTGAGCAAGAGGCTCTACTGTCCAGGATATAGGTCAGTTACCTGTTCTGGAGGGGGTTACACTCTCTGAAAATCAGGCATAGGCATATGGTCATCCCTGACCACTGGTCCTGTTAGTTAGGGATTATGGGAGTTGTAGTCCCAAAACATCTGGAGGGCCAAGTTTGCCTATGCCTGCTCTAAAGGAACAAGCAACCCTGAAAGATCATTGCCATTAAGTATATGCGGTACTGAGCTAGGTGTACCAGTGGTCTTGTGTAGCTTCCTATGGGCTATTCTCAGTTTGGTGGTTCACCAAAGCAGCCATGCAAAGGAACTCAAATATCAGTTAGTCATGGAGTGAGCACTATATTTTTTGTAATCTCTTGTTTGGTTATGTAGAATTGGGCATTAAGGGCTGTGGTGCTAATGGACAAGAGGAATGAGTAAACCAGTCAAAACTGGAAATAGTTTCTGAAGTTTCAAATGCTTCCCCCCCCCCCATTCTTCTTATGCAGGATTCTGGGATTAGGGGAAGCTTCTCCTGAAAGCAAAGACCAGGCTGGGCTGACTCGGGTCTGAGAGGAACTCCCTTTTTTGTCAGAGCAGAATGTGTCAGAGTGTTGGTGCCCAGGAGAAAAGAAGTGGACACTGGCTTGCTGGGGGGAGGGGGCATCAGCTGGGCTGCTCAGAATCTGGGGCATTGGAAGGGTGCACAACACTCTTGAAAGTCAATATTGGGGCTGAAGCTGCAGTGCTGGAAGGCTATGTTGGAAGCAGAAATTTATTTTTATTCATATGACTAATTCATGGAAAATATTGCTTTATTTGTGTGAGATGCGTGTGCATGCATGCCCACACACACACACACACACACACGCACACACACACACACACACACACACACACACTGTATATGCACTTCTGGGGTAGTTTGTCCACCTTTGGTCCCCACTCTGCTCTTAGCTCTTATCTGTGGCTCCTAGAAGCTGTCAGCATGTGACAATAGCCACACTCCAGGGAACGTCTTGGACTAGCTGGCTAAACCAGGTCAGGGTAGCCGATGGGTCTCAAACCCTTGTTGAGTTAGGGACCTCTTCTGCTTGTGAAGACAGACTCTGGCAGATTGAGTGGACAAGACTAATAGTGGGGCTAATGGTCAAGCTCTGCATGAGCTGTAGAGGGAAATCTGTACCCTCTGCCTTTCAGGACATCTTCGGGAGAAAAAAAGAATAAGGAGGAAACCCAAGGCAAATCCGGAGTGAAGTCTTTAAGAAGGTTGGATGGTGTCTTGTACACCTCCTTCTGACAACTGTAGCCAAGCTGGTGCCAAATGTATTGCTCTGCTCTGCTTTGGGCCACATCAGTGAGGCTGGGCAGCCCAGGACCTTCACACACACTGCCCAGGTATGTGCCCTGGAGAGGTCACTTTGGACTTCACCCCCGGAGGTGCACTTCATTGCTACTTGAGACAGATGGATGCCAACAATATTGTTTTAGAGATAAGCACCTAGTTACAATATTGAAGGTCCTCAATACTATTGTTTTCAGGGGCCAAATTAAGCAACACAATTTTTGGAATTCTGATTTAAGTCTAATGGACTAGAGGCAATGTAAGCTTTCATTTCACACACTCCATATGGATACTGAAAAGCTGGCTTTGTGGGGTCTAGCTTCTAAGCCAGAAATCTCTAAGTCTTTCAATGATTGTTAAGTGCGATTTCCACACAACTCAACCCATAGCACCTTGGCATCTGTTGTACTTACAGCTTCCCATGGGCCTAGTATCCAACCTGATTTCATTCATGCAGCTGTTGGTGTGTAGGGTAGACTGAAGACAGAACTCACAGTACCCTTTAACTGTAACTGGCAGCTTATGTAATCATATTGTGCTAAGGTTGCTTTTTGATTGTAATATAAACTCTGTCAAGCCAAAACTATATCTAACACCCAAACAATAAAGTGGAAAGAGGTCAAAAAAGCTCCATTGTTGAGGGAGTTGACAGCTTGAAGGTCTCACAAAAGCAAAAAAAGAAAGATATTTGATCAGCAAAATGCAGTAAATCATTAAATGTCTTCTCCAGCACACTCTCTACTATGAAGACATGACTGGAATCAATTGTGAGTCAAATGAGCAAGATAACGTTTCAGCTGAATATAAATGAAATTTTCAACCCTTTTGTATTATTAAAGAGTGCCTAGAAAGAAGGCATATCATAGATGATGTTACAGTAAATGGTATAGCATCTTGTATCGGGTAGTGCAACATGATTCTAAAAGTCTGAGGAGGAGCTCAGAACGATATAACCGGAAAACATTTTTTCCAACTCCCCCACATTAGGTTACCACAGTGGGTCTAGTTTTTTTACTAGTAAATGTTATTTCCCCTGATTTCTGATCCCAGCATTACCCCAAGGCAGATTCAGATGAATCACAGGCCAAACCCACCCAAGAGAGTCCTTGGAACCCCCTTTTACATCCTGAGGTTGTGGCTTTCCTATCATCTTCAAACTCCACCATAGAAGATGACTGCTCTGCAGCTTCTCCTTCATAACCATGCAAGGGTGTGCAGCTGGAGAACCACTGAAGGCCCTTTAAAGGATTATAAACAGTTCTGCCAGTGGGTGGGGGAAAAACCACTGGAAGCTCAAGCTGTGCCAGCCTTCACAAGGCTTCAAATAACTCTGGTCTTTCTACTGCTCAGCAAGCAGAGCACATTTGGTTTTGATTGCTGCTCACTGGAAGCTGCCAGGACTCAGCCTGACTTGACCTGATCTGACTTCTTATAGCTGGACTTGCCTCAGCCTGACTGAGTTTGACCTAAGCCACTTGACTGGGCCTGGTTGAAAATCATTTGACCCATAGTACCCTGGCCCATCCTGATTAAGAACAATTGATCTGCTTGAGTGGGCCCCACCTGAATCTGCCCAACTTACCTGCTTCTTCCCTTAGATCAGGCATGGCCAAACTTGGTCCTCCAGCTGTTTTGGGACTACAACTCCCATCATCCCTAGCTAATAGGACCAGTGGTCAGGGATGATGGGAATTGTAGTCCCCAAACAGCTGGAGGACCAAGTTTGGCCATGCCTGCCTTAGATGGTAAGGAAAGGGGGTTATTGAACATTCTGGCACTGGGCAGCCCTCCACCTGAAGGCCTCTTTTCTTGTTTCCCCAGACCCAAACATCCTAACACAGTTGGGGGTGAGGGGATGAAATTAGGTTGCTTCTGTCTCTCAGTTAGCGACCACACATACAGAAATCCCCCTCTATCTGTATTAACCTTCAGAGTCATCCAGCAGTTCGTTACTTGCCAAGGCTGTATTTCTGAACAGCCGGCAGCAGAGCAAGAAGCGCCATTACTCAGTGGTTGAGCATCTACTTTGCATGCAGAAGGTCCAGGGTTCAGTCCCTGGCATCTCCAGGTGGGGTTGGGAGAGGCCTCTGTCTGAAGCCCTAGAGATCCACTGCCAGTGAAGACAATACTGAGCGAGATGGACCAAGGGCCTTGCTCAGTATAAGGCAGCTTCCTATGTTTGGGATGGATTCAGATGACCCATTCTGTAGTGTCTTCTATAGTGAGTTACAGTCAGCCACACCAGGATCAAAATGAAATGGGCTTGCTTGAAGCTTTCTGATGGATTTTGACACCAACATGATTTTTGGCAAGTTATGTTGTTTTTTTAAAGTGCTGTTACATAACATAATTGTCAGAATCGATCAGGTGCTGACCCCCTTTTGAGCTAGATTGTAAGCTGATCCCACAATATAGTGGTTGCAAAAGTGATCAACAGGTCACCCTTAGTGTCTTGTACCTCTCTTCCTATATCTCTCATATGGCATTGGACGTAACTTGCTGTGCTAAAATATGTACTCCAGTTGCTCAAAGCTTCTCTTCCCTCTGTGAAGGAGAGTTCCACTTTTCCTGCCGTATTCTTAGGGCATTTTAGAATTTATTTAGGATTTAGGTGGGTGCAGGCTTTTGAGTGAGGGCAGTGCTTTGTTTTACTTTCCAGTAAAACATTTCTTCTGTATCCTCCCTGGCTGTCCAGGCTTCATCTGAGAAAAGCCCCATGGGAAGTTTGGCTGCATGATGTCATCCCCCGGTTTTAATTGAAGTGCAGGTATATAGGAAAGCTGCAGAATGCAGACCACTGGTGAAATTATTTGTAGATTGAAAGAAATGATACCCGCAAATACCTCTCAGTCACATCAAAATAAGGTAACAGTGACAAAAACCCATGGGAATTTTGCTTAAAATTTCTCTCTCCCTTTGACAATTTTCTTATGCAATTTCTTTTCTCATTAATTGATGGAGATTTTATTTTATTTTATTTTTGGTGGGGAGTGGGAAACAGGATAAATTTCTGGCAAGGCATTATTAATAAGTACAATTTAATAACATTTGCTCTGATAAATGTGAAGATTTGCCCAGAATGATGAATGGGCATTTGTAGCAATACTGATGCAATCCAGATAAATTCTAGTTTGAGATCATAAAAATAAATTAATTGGAGGACACAAGAATCTGCAGAGGAATCAGCAAAACCCATCCGTGCCTTCCTTCCCTCTTCTCCTGAATGGATCCAAACCAATTGCAGTTGCAGTTAATATTGTTACATTTTAAAAATGCATCTCTCCATTTGTAGATAATCATTACTGCCTTTTAAAGTACAACAGAAGCAGAAGCTTATTTAAAGAAATAATGGTGGAACTGGATGTTTGCTTGGTAAAAGAGATGAATGCCTAAAGGTTCCAAGTAGCCTCGTGCCAATTTCTGGTTAAGCTTGCTTTATTATAATTACATTCTTTGTAAAAGGCTCTAATTCCATGTATTTTTCTAAAACAATAAAAACAGTGGGGTTCCTTTTCCAGTTATTGCAATAATAATTAAAACCAACATGATTGTTATAAGAAATGAGAACATGGCAAATTGCAAAAAAAAAGTTTAACAGTAACTTAAGGTACAACAGTAAGCACCTTTGTACCAGACTCAGGGTGTGTGTGTGTTTTGCATTGGATTTGGTGAAAGTGTCTTTCTCTCTGGCCCTGCTAACTTTTGCCTTTAGAATGATGCCAGTGTCGCCCTGTAGCTGCAGACCTCTTCCTTCCAACTATAAAACAGGCAGACAGGCCTGCTGCCCGTGGAATCCCCACTAGTGGCAGCCCACAGAAAGCCCAGAAATGCACAATTCCAGGAGAAGGAGAAGGAGAAGGAGATGATGATGATGATGATGATGATGATGATGAAGAGTTTGGATTTGATATCCCACTTTATCACTATCCTAAGGAATCTCAAAGCGGCTAACAATCTCCTTTTCCCTTCCTCCCCCACAACAAACACTCTGTGAGGTGAGTGGGGCTGAGAGACTTCAGAGAAGTACGACTAGCCCAAGGTCACCCAGCAGCTGCATGTGGAGGAGCGGAGACGCGAACCCGGTTCCCCAGATTACAAGACCACCGCTCTTAACCATTACACCACACTGGAGCAGCAAAGGGCTGAGCTAGCCTAGAATTCACTCGATTCACATGACAGGATTGAGCCTGATTTGGGTCCAATCCCTGTAGCAATTTCAGGATGACACTGTGATTTGCATCCCCCACCCCAGCATGTGTGGCAAGCCTGCAAATGCAGCAGTAGCTCCACTGCACCATTAAAAGCCTGTGTGAAGAGGGATCCCTTGTTTCCATTACTTTTTCTGTCTCAACAAATTGCTAAGTCTTATGTTCCGAATCATTCATACATTATGCACACTTTGTATCAAACTTTCGTAATTAAAATTGTAGAGATAATAACAGAGTGATTCTTTGGTCCCACTGTGCATATGTAACATAGAAAAGTGTCACAGGCCATCAGTGCAGGAAACGGATGCTATATGCACATAATTTCCCTCTCTTGAAGTTGCCCAACACTTTCTGTATTAGTACTGGGTGAAGTTTCTTAGTTTGTCATGGACACATTCCTGGTGTGCACTAGGCCTGTATCCTGTGCACAAAGGATTGGTGGCTGCAGGGCTGGGGTGGGTTAGGAAACAAACCACTGCCTCTACAAATAAATTAATTACTGTCTGGAACAATTCTACAAATACAGCTCAGTATTCTCAAGATGATTTAAAATCTGCAGAATCTTTTATTGATTCCTAAAAGTCCACTTGGGAATCCCTTGCAGGATTATTCTGCTTTGGAAAAACATGCCATTGGTATTCCTTTTCTGCATAATGGTTTAGGGCCAATTCTAAGTATTTGAGTCAACTGCTTACCTGGAAAAACATTAGGGAAACAAGACATTTTGAAATGGTTATGTGCAGTATAATACACGCAATCTCTTAGTCTAATATACTGTACCTCTCTGTATGGCAGCTGTTATAAAACTGCTACTTGGTGGCCCGGCTTCTACATCTCATTGGGGAAGGATAAAATCACTAGCATGTATGTTGTCTGGATCATGTGATTACTCATTGTGCCAGCAGCTCCAGTAGATGTGCCAACCTGGTAAGGTAAATAACTCCATGATAAAGTACAGCTGTCACAGTGATGATGCGTAGATTGTCACTACAGGTGGGTTGACTGTGTTTCATCAAGCTGAGAGCTTATTACAGGGACTAGGCTCTCTTTAATTTGCAGCCTAAGACTAACGGAAGCAACAGAGGAGGTTGTAAATCCCAGATGATCTGTTATCGACAGAGGCGGGAAACCCAGAGGTCTAATTGCTTAACTCCTTTGCAGGTTTAGAACGCTGGCTGCTCCACAGTGGCAACCATGACAAGCAATTTATTCGCTTTAAAATCCATTGCGATTACCAAAAAATAAAATCATGTCAGTAGTATGTTTAAGAGGAATATACTGTGTTACAGTCAGCACAGGAAGCTGGTATAAGAAAAGAAAGAAATTCTGTTGAAGGAGGACAAAATAATGAAGGACAAAAGAACTAGAAATTGTTGGGGTGGGGCAGTTGCCATGATTTCCAAATGGTGATTCTATTTTTGCACTTACTGCTATCTATCTTCTTAATAAATGGTTAGTTACATTAAAATTTAAAAGTAAGTGCTTACTTATAAAAGACCTTCATTACATTTTTCTCTGCTGTAACAGTTTAACTTCTCAATAAAAAGTGGATGACGGATGGAAGGGTTGTCTTCATCCTGCCAAGGCAATAAACAAAGGCATCTGCACTGTTCAGAGATTTCATACTTCCTTGGTCTTCATGTTTTATTCTCTTTTAATTGGAAATGAGCACCTGCTCATATATTACTTAAGCTACCAGTCACAAACAAATAGCAGACACGCTGTTTCCTCTTGGGATGAATAAATTATGTGAGCAAGTGAAAGAATACACGGATGTGTCTGTGTCTGTGGCTACATAGATATGCTTTTCAGTGAGTGACAGAAAAGGCACTCTGTCTGCAATTCTGTTTCTGTTGTTTCACGTAGTCAGTTTCCTAAAGGAGAAGAAAGCCAGTGAGGGAACACACAATTATAATCTATGGCAAGGGGAGGGGAGCTGCTGCAGCAGCAGTAATACAGCTTGCCCTGTCCCTTCCTGCTGCTGTGTGGCGTAAGCAGAGGTTAACTATGGCATCATTCTGTGTGAGGCAAGCAAGCCAGAGCTTCGTGTGTATCTTGGGTCCAAACTGTGTGACCTCTGTGTTTATACTTCCCACAGTTTCTAAATGGCAAATGCATCTGCAAGACCCTCAGGTAGGGTCCATACTATGTTAGTGAGGAAGGGATATTTTGGGGGAGGGATGTTTTAAGAGTGCCGTTTTCCCACTCTGCACTGCCCTCCCCACTGCTATTAGTCTCTTTGTGGGGAGTCATTTACATATCCCATATGGGAATATGGTAGCTTCCCTCACAGCAAATAACAGCTTGGGAGGGCAAAATGTCAACCAAGGAAATGGCAAAAGAAGCAACTGCATTTTCTGTGAACAGAAGCTGTGGGAGATTATGGGGCTTCCAATGAAGGGATGTAGAACCCTACATTCTCACTCCCCAATCTCCAAATGCTAGCATGGCAGTCTTGTATGAAGGCTTTGCCTCCTGCTAGGAAACAGCTATATTACTCAGTTGCCCACCATTCTGTGGATGAAGGGCGGGGGGCAGAATGGTTGGATGCTGAACAAGCAACAGGCTTGAGTGAGAGAGGAAGAAGAGACAGAAAGAGCTGCAGACGTAGGATCGGCAGCTGAGGAGGAGGTTGCAACAGATTCACAGGAGTTTGCCGGTCCTACTGTATTCAGCTCCCCTTGTCCCTTGTCTCTTGTCTCCAAGGGCATGGAGGGCTTTGCATGTAGCAGAGCAAAGGGCACAGAGAACACAGGAGCCCCGTCCCTGTCTGAGTTTAACACTGCTGAGAAAACAGCCTGCCGGGGTGGAGACTTACAGGGAAGTGACAACTGCTTTACCAGGGCCAGTTTTGCCCGTAGGTTTCTCTGTTTGTATTTTGTTTCCTTGGATAAAGATTAAACTTTACTGCTTGTCCGTGTGCTGACTTGCAGCTGAACCAGCCCTGACAGCTGTAATTTAAGGGGTATAGAGTAAATATGGCTCATATTTCTGGTAAAGGTTCTGCTAGTTTTGCCTGCATTTGACAGAAGGGCATCCAGAGCTTCAAATTTTATTTCGAATTGCTCTGGGAGCCTTTTGGCTGAAGGGCAGTGTGTACATATGCATACATAAATAAACTAGTTATTTCAAATCATTAATGAGTGGGGTGTGTGTGTGTGTTGTAGCTCAGTATCGGAGCATCTGCTTTGCCTGCCAGGTTCAGTCCCCAGCATCTCCAGGTAGGGCTAGGAAAGTTCTCTGGCTGAATAGCTGCTGCCAGTCAGTGTGGACAATACTGACTCAGTATAAGGTAGCTTCTAATTGTTGGAATTCTGCCTGGGTCAGAGGAATGTGCCACAGCGTAGGCACCGGCAGATATTCCTGTCGACCTCCCCGCGTCTCCACTCTGCTGATAAGCAGGCGAGGTCCGGCGATTCTTCTCAGATGTATGAGAGGAACACACCGTTCTTCCTCTCTCCCCTTTGGTGTCCCCAGGGAGGGGAAAGAAGCAGACAGAAAACTATTTACATCATTTATTTCTGCCTCTTACATCAGTACAGAGAATCATGTCTGCACTCAACATTGGTGCTTTATGGTAACATACTCCCCCTAAAGTATCAATGTGTGCTGCGAGCAAAGCGTCATCCAGAGAAGAAAACAAACAGTTGTTATATTTATAACATTCCCCTGTTGTTTCAGTTCCACCCTTGGAACTACCCGCCACTGGCTTTAACCAATGTACCTCTCTGGTTGTGTGACTTCGCATTACCTTGGTTAACACCTCTCTGTTGTGCCTTTGTCTCTGACTCAGACACAGCTTCAATCTGTCCTTGGTCGTTTACAATAGCAACATATGCAAGGTTAGCAAACTCCTTTGAATACCTCTTGGGTGGTACACCCTTCGTTGCTCTCTCAGACCTGCGTATGAGGTTCTGATCCTCTGTGCTCACTGGTTCAACCTTTGGACTCTGTTGAGAACCAGTAGCAATCAGTGGTTCTTCCTTCACCTGTGAAGGTCTATCCATTGTGTGAGATTTCCTCTCAATGACTGTGACAACTGAACTCTCTGAGCTCTCACTGTCATCATCAGTACTACTGAACTCAATAAGATCAAACTCATCATCATCATCATCAGAATCGTTTCCTGTGGGAAATGTTTGTACTATCCGCTCTTGCTTTGGAGCACTCTCTAGGAACTTTGTGAGAATCACCTGACCAGATTCAGACAAAATTACTCTGTAGAGACCTTTTCATAACCTACGAAAATGCCTCTGGCATTCTTTACTCCACCTGGAGCTTCTGTTCTCACATGAGACCCGAAAACCTTAAAATAGGCAACAGAAGGTTTTCTATTGAACAGCTTCTCAAAAGGAGAACATCCCAACTCTGTTGAGACTTTTCTCAGCCACACATGAAGATAGGACGCTAGCGATTCGGCCCAATATTCATGTGGCAAATGTGAACTCAGCAATTGCGCATTCATCCCCTTTTGCAATTCTTTGTTCACTTTTACACAGACCCCCCTGTTCCACGCTTCTTGCGAAACAGCCACTTTGTGGTCTATCCCTTTTCCATCCAGGAACTTCTGAAACTTCTGCAACAGAAAAATTTGTTTGTCATCTGTGAAAAGACAATCAATGTTAGCATCATGCATACTTTTAACCTTGTCACAAAATTCCTGAAACTTTTCTAAAGTTTCTTGCGGTTTCTCCATCATATAAACCCAAGAATAATTAGTGAAACAATCCACACACAAAAGGTAATATTTTGCACCGCCCCTAGATGGTTCTAGAGGACCAATCACATCAGCATACACCCGCTGAAATGCTCTGTCGACCTTCTTGGTCTTAGTCACCTTCCTGGTGCTCACACTGGTCACACCTGCAAGAGAGATTTCGTTAGAATCAGAAGAATTACATTTCATGTAATCACTTTGATCAAAAGTCAACAAATACAGTCCATCTTTCTCTTTGGCAGTAGAAACAGTTCTCCATCTTTGTAGATCTTGCAGCTTTTAGCATCATAGGACAGTTTCAGTCCTTTCTTTGCAATCTGCGACACGCTCAGCAGATTAAATCTCAGTTCTGGAACCAGGTAAACATCACTTATAGTCAAGTTCAGACTTTCAAGATACACAGTCCCAATTCCAGTTGCTTCCAGCTCCTGACCGTTGGCCTGTTTCACAGTGAAGCTTTGCTTCTTCAACGTCGAAAACAGTCCTCTGTGCGGGCACATATGAACCGTTGCGCCCGTGTCAATTATGAACGAGTTCCCAACATCTGGCGTGGTTCCTTTCGCCATCATAGCCTTTGCAGGTTTCACCTGGCACTTGGAACGGCTTTTGCCTGACGCCTGAGGCTTCGTAGAGCTGCTCTTTGCTCCTCTTGACTGGCGCGGCTTCTTACAGTTTCGCTGTAGATGCCCAGTCTGTCCACAATTGTAGCATCGGACAGCACTCAATGCTACACCATGCTCTCCAGTAGCATCAGCAGTGGGGAATTAGAACTCTGTTCTTCCCTCCCCTGTCTTTTTCTTCCAGTGCAGCAAGTCTGTCGTGTTCATTCAGGACCACAGCACAAACTCTCTCCGCGGTCAGCTGCGCGGCCGGTAGGGAACCAAGCTGACTGGCAACAACCTTGTAGGTGCGGCTAAGGCTGTTTATCATCATGAAGCAAAACACTTCCTCCTGAAGACGAAAATTGCGTTCCACCATCTGTTGACGCAGAAACTTCATTTCTGTCAGGTGCGCTTGAACATCTCCATCAGGCGCAAGTCTCAGATTGGTCAATTTCTCAAAATACAGCAACGCTGAAGAACCAGCATCTCTCTGATGCGTTGTACGCAGTGTGTCCCATACCTCTTTCGCATTTTCTAAATGCTGAACATGCACCAACTGATCATCTGAGACACACAGAATTATAGCAGTCCTGGCCCTTACATTCTGTGACTCCCAACCTCTGGTTGGTGCTGCAGGGATGGGGTTTTCAATTACATCAAAAGCCTCTGATTCTGCAGCAGGGCCTTCATCTTTACAGACCAAGATGAATAATTGTCATTGGTTAAGGGAGGTGGGCAAGGCAAACCTCCCCTTTCTTGGCATCCATCTTGAAGCCAAGCCTCCAGCTCACAATGTCAAACAAACTGTAAAACCCAACAGTTGTTTTTTTCTTTCTCACGCAGGAAACTGCAAATTGTTTACGCTCTTTGCACCTGGCAGCTAAACTCAGGCTGCTATTGAAAGGTCCCTTCCAAGAGCTCGTAAACCTTGTAGCCAAAACATTCTCTGGTTTTGTTTCGCTTTCCCAGGCTTACACTCAGAGTCCAGCCCCTTGCCAGTAACTTTCCAGGACCGTTGCCTAGCAACAATGCATTTCAATGGGACTCTTATCTACCACAAAACTTTGTGGAATGCAGGCTTCAGCCTTCAAGCTGCAGGCCTCTTCCTCTCGGAGCTTTTGTTTTCTTTGAAACGCAGCTCCGTGAACCAGGGAATTAATCTTCCTGCGTTCACACTTTTAGCCCGAAATGCAGCATACCTTGAGCTCCGTTGCTTGGGAAAACACCTCTTCTTTCCATCAGCTGTCTGTGGAGCCTCTGGCTTCTTTCAGACGCTTCTATTCCTCCCTGGAGCAGCGGAGGACAATCCACCAGCCTCTCATGCAGATGTCCGATGAATCGCAACCATCCTCTGCTACCACTGTTGGAATTCTGCCTGGGTCAGAGGAATGTGCCACAGCGTAGGCACCGGCAGATATTCCTGTCGACCTCCCCGCGTCTCCACTCTGCTGATAAGCAGGCGAGGTCCGGCGATTCTTCTCAGATGTATGAGAGGAACACACCGTTCTTCCTCTCTCCCTTTGGTGTCCCCAGGAGGGGAAAGAAGCAGACAGAAAACTATTTACATCATTTATTTCTGCCTCTTACATCAGTACAGAGAATCATGTCTGCACTCAACAACAGCAAGAAGAAACTCCTCCCAAGTACATCCAGTACGGGTCATATGACACACACACACTGAGCTAACATCCGGTGCTCAGTACAGAATGGACTGCCCCTTTGTTCCCATGGCAACAGTCACAAACATCCTGCCTGGCTTTCCAGCCACAAGCAGCTGGCTGAGCTGCTAGAGCCTTTGCTTGCTGCAGCATTGGTGCTTTATGGTAACACTAATAATGTAGTTTAGGGGACCCTCCAGAGTGTGCGGGAGTTTTTTCTGTGTGTTTTGCAGGTGTATTCTGTAGCATGTCACTGATGCAGCAGTAACAGTGCTGGGCTGTGCACATAACATTTCACTTTCTTAGTTGTTCTGCAGCACTCCTGTGCCGTTGGTGCATTATTGTGCTCTGGAAGGGCACTCTTGCACTACTGCACAACAAAAGCAGGGCAAAAGAAATAAACCAGAACAATTGTGATATAAATAGTTACAGGATTTCAGCTGGGCATTAGGGGCCATGCACTGATTAGAAACCAAGCAGTATGTCTGGTGCGGAAGTGTACGTGAACAGAAACTAATTAGGTGAGGAAGACTTAAGTTCACATATTCTTTCAAATGAATTAGCCAAGCTTTTGATGGCAGGTTTCTAGTTCTCTGTAACTGGGGGGAAAACCACTGCTGGAACTTCAACAGTACTTTAGCTTTCTTTTCTGATAACTCTCTGCTAATATAATGGGATGCTTTATTTAGTGGATATGTCCCCTCCACTTGACATTTAGGGTGCCCTTTCTACTTGTCATCCTTCCTATCTACCTTTACTCACCTTTTAACATTATAACTTGGCCTTCTCATTAAGTCCCTCCAAGTGACGTATTTTAAAATACTTCCCTTCTTTGAAATGCTTTCTACAACCACCTGGTTTAGACTTCTATATTAAGAGTGTATTGGCCAAGTTGCCTACACCTCCTAACCATCTTCTTATTCATGGGCAATGAAAGACTTTGGTAGTCACACAGCTCTCATTTCAACCTCTGTGTGTACTGAACGAAGTGCAGATATTTTTGTATGGGATCTCATTCTTAACTTCAGTTGCAGCATACAGTGAGCTCTCTAGAGAGCTGGGCATTTTAACAATTCTGAGTGAAACTAATATCTTTGGGAGTTTCCAGCCAATTAACTAACTCAGCTTTCATCTGCCTCAGCTTCTGTGCTCTTAGGTCTTTCTGATTAATTGCTCCAGGCTGTTCTGCTGGTGAAGTGTTTTTAAAATTTTGTGCTGATCTGTTACTTTTGATGCTGGACTCACTACTAAGCTATGATTACAATCTTTCCAGAGTTGCTGTTTCACAGGGCTAAAAGCAACATAAGAGAGAAGACTTCATACTGAGTAATACAATGACCAGACCACCACCATTACCGTTAGCTGCAGGAGAGCTTTTTAATCATCTAAGCTGCTTCTTCAGAAGATGACTTTAGGGCATCAGATACCCGAGTTTCACTGGAAATCAGTGGTGTTCATACTCCTGACATTTCTATTACAGTGGTACCTCGGGTTACAGATGCTTCAGGTTACAGACTCTTCTAATCCAGAAATAGTATCTCAGGTTAAGAACTTTGCTTCAGGATGAGAACGGAAATTGGATGGGGGTGGGAGGCCCCATTAGCTAAAGTGGTACCTCAGGTTAAGAACAATTTCAGGTTAAGAACAAACCTCCAGAATGAATTAAGTTCTTAACCCAAGGTACCACTGTGCGTTGAATCTAGTTTCAAAGTTTTTATTCATTAAATGTCAAAGGGATTGAGACATGCTTGACTATTTTAAATACTTCTGAAAATGCCACCCCATAGCTATTACATATTTCCTCCAACGATGTTGCTCAGTTCCCACAATATTGCTATACACCACCCCAATCTCTGCCAAGCGGTGCATGAGATTTCAAGGGTTGCAGGTTTGCGCTCCCCAGGGTCTGTGTTCCCTTTTGGGACAATGAGGCGCAGCAGAGACTGTGGCATCATTGCGATATATGGTTTATTTGCACATATATACAATCTGAACCTAAATGATGGGATTGCAGAGCATTCACATTCAAAGCAGGCCCAGCCTCCTCCATAAGTGCAACATTGGATTCAAAAAGAACAGCAAAAAAGCTATCCTCTCCGTTTCTCTTGCAGCTTGTCCCAGCTAGCCTCCATTGTGTTCTGTCTCCTCCTTCCACTTGCAAAACTGAGTTTTTTTTCCCTGTTTGCTTATGTTATCCACCCTGAAATCCTAAACCCCTTTGGTCTCTTCCCATCAACGCACAGCTGAAAGAGGCACCCCTCACCTCCTTGTCTGACAGTGTTTGCTCTCTCTTGATGGTTTCATTGATGGGCCATCACTTAGCTAGCCCTGACTGCCAGCCTGACTTGTTAGCATAAGCTAAACCCAGGAATTTCAGTGTTTGGCACAGTTTAATCAAACCTTGATTAATTCTAACTCTTATGGGCTACTTGTGCCCACAAACCCCGCACCCAAGATTTATAACCATATGGTACTAGTTTATTTGTCTCTAAATGCAATTTTTTACAGGCGAGATATATTAAGCTTCAAGTAGGCAAAACAATACATGGACTACTGATGAACTAAGTAGCAATGAGAAAACTCCGGTGGTATTGTGGCTCAGAACAGATATTAATTTTTAAAAATCTTGACATTTGACTGTTGAAAAGACAAATAATCTGTCTTAATCCTAGTTTCCGTGTCGTTTGTGCTCACTGCAGAGTTAAATGAAGTAAGTCTTCAAATGTTGCACTGCTCATGTGAATATGTCACTCATGTGGACAGTTATACATAGTAGTTGGCCCAGATTAGTAACATCTGCACAACTTTTCATGCCTTCTTTTGTCTGCTGTCTCATTTGTGACAAAATGGTAATAGCTTTCCCCATGTGCTCTAGTTAAACATTAAACCACATCATTATGCAAATGTATATATACAAAATTTCCCCCTGCTTCCACTATCATTTAGCCAGGTCCTAACTTTAAGACTGTGCATAGTAGGGAAAGTGATAGCCATTGTCCAGCACCAGACCCACTGCCAGAGAAAACATCAAATATTCCATTTGACTGTAGACTGAGGAGTGTGCATGTGCCTAAACACAGCTTTCACTTATACAGCTTCCTCACTTAGAGACATTATGAACAGTATGCAGAACAGGAAGGAAGTGACAAGGAGCACAGATGTGGTGGGAAAGCTAAAGGAGCGGGAGGTGGGGGAGAGAAGAGCAATGCACAGTTAAATGAGATTGTAAAAGCCACAGAGCTGCAAAGCTGTTGTAAATTATATGACCTGCAGAAGAGTGGTATTTGTATAGAAAAGCAGCATTGCAGAATTTAAGGGGAAATAAACTTTGTATTAATAAACACGGGCGGTGCTGTGGTCTAAACCACAGAGCCTAGGACTTGCCGATCAGAAGGTTGGCGGTTCGAATCCCCACAACGGGGTGAGCTCCTATTGCTCAGTCCTAGCTCCTGCCAACCTAGCAGTTTGAAAGCATGTCAAAGTGCAAGTAGATAAATAGGTACCGCTCCGGCAGGAAGGTAAATGGCATTTCCATGCACTGCTCTGGTTTCTCCAGAAGTGGCTTAGTCATGCTAGCCACATGACCCAGAAAAACTGTCTGCGGACAAACGCCGGCTCCCTTGGCCAGTAAAGCGAGATGAGTGCCGCAACCCCAGAGTCATTCACGACTGGACTTAACTGTCAGGGGTCCTTTACCTTTACCTTTTTAAACTTGGTAAAGGAAAGACAAGATCAAACAATTGTTTTTCTAAAAAGAAGTTCCCTGTTCATTTCACCAGTAGTGTTTTCACAGAATAATGTAGTTAGGACAAGATGCCATCCATTTTTTTCATTGTTTGTTAGCTTAAAAGTCAGTAGCTCAAAATAGCAAAACTCTCCCTGTCTCACATTCATACCTGTAATAGAGAGAAGGTGAAAATGGAGATAATGTGAGATGCAACTCAGCAAAAAGAACATGTGTTAGTGGAAACTTGTGATTACGGGAGGAAAAACCTGCCATTTGCTGAATGGAACTCTGAATATGGCACCCTCTCAATACAAATGAATTTATTGTGTGCATTCATTGAATGCATCCTGTGGTTCCTTGGCTGAGCTGCTAGTGAGGGAATGGAATTAATTTCATATAATTATTTGAACTAATCACCCAAGTCTTTGACTGCCGAACTACAAAAAAACCCAAGTTCTTCTTCTAGAGGGGTCTGGGCCAATGAAAGCTACTTGTGGTCTGACCTGGTACAGAGTTAGGTATCCCTAAGTTGATTGATTTTTTTGAAGTTATGTGCATCTAATTCTGCATAGGAATGGGCTGTGTCCCACATTCGTTATTTATTTGACTGCGAAAAACCTCCTGAGAGAAGAATCACAGAAGAGAATAGGAAACTGGATCTGAATAACTTTACTAATACCCATGTCTGGGATTTCGAGAACATCCTTTCCCTTTCTTTCTAAATATTTATTAATTATAATGATTATTGTGTCAGTACGAAAGAATAAAACAAGTAAAAGTAATGGCAACATGCATTCAGTAATTTAGATTTAAATACCCGAGAAAATTGAAACATCTCCCATACAGCTCTGTTCTGGAATTCTAATGAGCTGGCTTGTGCAGCTAGTTCTATAACTGCAGCAGCTAGTGAGAAAGCGCTGCCCCGAGCCCCTATAACGTACATTGAAGAGACCTAGAGTGGGGTTTTATTGGGCTGACACTCCTTGCATCTACAAAATAATAATAATAATAATAATTTATTATTTTGACCCCGCCCATCTGGCTGGGTTTTTCTAGCCACTCTGGGTGGCTTCCAACAAAAAGATTACAAATACATTAAAACATCAGTCATTAAAAACTTCCCGAAACAGGGCTGCCTTCAGATGTCTTCTAAATGCCATGTAGTTGTTTATTTCCTTGACATCTGATGGGAGGGTATTCCACAGGGTGGGCGCCACTACCGAGAAGGCCCTCTGCCTGGTTCCCTGTAACTT